AAGGTGAGGGAGGCAAACAACAGTGGCAGACTGATTCCAGAAAGTGAACTAAATCATTATCAAAGTTGGTGTTCCAAAATACTGTGTCCATAAATACAATTCACAAAAAAGACCATAAAATGTTAACATTAATATACATTTTCTATAAAATAATAATAAAACAACATTTATTTGATAAAATATGGAATTTTTCTCAATGGTGTAAAATAATATGTGGAAGCCTCACCTTATCAACCAGTGTTGGCACAAGTGGGGAGGAGGAGATACAGTATTAAAAAGTCAGAGGAAATCTTACTAAAGATCCAGCTAAATTTTCTAATTCCAAATTTGGAATAAAAAAATCAGACCTGTTGAATATTCATGTTCCATTTTTAGTCTTCTTTCGTAATGTCAATACCTTGCACCAAAAATATTCACCCCCTCACTTTCCTCTCTAACCATTTATTAATTTTGAAATTTGAATTCCATATAAGAAAAAAAATGTTTAGTGTTGTCTTACTAAAATAGCGCAATCTCTAGAACATTCCTTTAGTCCCCCATCTTACATAATTTCTGGATTACTATATTCAATTTTTTTTTATTCCCTGGCTGCACATCTCAATTTCTGGCATTTTTTATATTTACTCTTAAGAATGCGAACAAACATGTTGTGCTTGAGACTTTAAAAATATGAATGTAAATATGTTGAATATAAATAAATCTTTCTCCAAACAAATTGATCTTCTAGATTCCAAGCAATTGGTGATATAAGCCTTTCTGAATTAACATAGTTACAACATCTCCATTTACATAATATTTTAATAAACATACGGTACTATTGTAGACTAGGTCATTCATCAACACAGAAAAAAAAATCATTCATTCAAAAAATCAATCATTCAATCATTCGTTCATTCTTTTTTTTTATTCAAATTCATAAAATATAAACAATTAAAATTTTATGAGACATAAAATTACAGCAAAAATGAGTAAAAGAAAAAAAAGATAATCTTATCTTATAATTCTAAAGTGTGGATATAATATAAGCATTTCCATTTTTGGTACATATTTATGGTGTGACACAATGCCGCATGGCCCATTTCCATCAATTTGAATTTCATGTACTCAATACCTTCAATTTAACAATATCAGTATGTAACAGAAACAAGTAATTTTATAATTAATATCAAATCAAATATATTTCACTTGTAACATGGATTACATACACAACTCAATCAATTTTAAAATGGAACCAACAAAACAAAGCAAATAATTGTTGCTGAGCGGGCATAAGACAATATATTCCCCTATGCAAATTAATAAAATGTATAGAAGATAAGCATTAATACTACACGAAACAATTCAACTATAAATAGAATTTTTCCAGGAACAAAATACTTCAACAAAATAAATAGTCAATTTGAACCTTCCACTCCCTGAAAAGTCGCTCCAGTATGTTTTTAATTTGCAGTGTCTACTGCAAATGTAAAAAAGTCATCGCTTGCATACACAGGTATAGAAACAAATGAAATGAAATGAGTACAATGTATTAATGTTTAATTTATATTGAAAGTTTCCAAATAATGGTAATAAATACTCATATTATGAACAACTTTGACATTAGAAACACTAGATAATGTCTAAATAAAAGAATAAAATGAAAGCTGGATTTATTGTAATGAATATTTCAAATACTCCGGTAGTCTTTGTCGACAGGTAGACATAAAATAAATATTCTGAGATTATTGAATCATAGTATAGGCCTACACAACAACTGTTAGTTCAAAAGCAAAGCCAGCATACAGTACTATTAAAGCTGAATATTTCATTTTAATTTCTAAAAAAGAAAGTATTTTTAGAATAGTGATACATTAATAATGATATATTACCCTAAAGTTTCTAAACTTTTCACTATTCATTGCAACTTCCTGAATATTGGCAAATGACCGATAAATCGTCGCTGGTTGTAACGGCGCACCGCCTAAGGTTCTGGTGGTTGAACACATCTTCTCGGATAAGGGCTAGGCCTATAAACCCTAGGCCATGTAGAGCTCACAAATGTAAAAATCAATCACAAATTTAAAAATAACAAAGAATGTAAAAACATTGTACTCGCAAAACACATTCAGTTTTTCTATAATTCCTAGCTTTTGTTTTTTTTTTTGTTAAAATATGGCAACATAAAAAAACAATTTACACAATGCTAGTTGTGATAAAAGGCATTTTTGCACTTGTGGGCTAAGTTTGTTACATTTGTGGTTATTTTTACATTTGTGGTAGATTTTTACATTTACCGAATCAGATGTACATTTGGTTGACTAGTAAAATTTAGATAAGGTAATAACTTGCATATTTAACAAAAAAAATCAGTTTTAGTTTTGAGTTATTATTTATGTACAAAGAGATTATGTTTCCTGCGGTTAGGTTGGGTGCATTACACTACAGTATGCATTGAAGTATATAATATATATATTGAGCCATGTAAACATTATGAAACTGCTTGCAGTGCCACACTTCTGTAGTTATCTTGGTAACATTTTAAATAAAATTTACTGTACATATTTTTTTAGCGTGGTGCTAATACTTAAGTGTGCTGCAGTCTTTGTTATTTTTGCCTAAGAAAGAATGGCAGTCATGCTTAAGTGTAGCTGGCGAGACCACTGACCACACTATGAGAAACATCCAAAAACCTAGTATCCCATCTTAAAGTCAGCTCCTGAGGAAAAATTAAATAAGTTACTGACTTTTTCTAAGACATAGAAACCATAATTGTTGAAAAACTTGTAAACTGTTAATGAGATACAGATTTTTGAATATTTAAACTCTCGTTAAAAAGGGGTGTAACTACCCATTTTTCCACTTTTTCCCCAGTTTTTAAATATTCAAAAATCTGTAGTTCATTAACCATTCCTGAGCTTTTCGTCAAACATCTTTTTGTGTCTTAAAAAAAATCAGTTATACAACATATCAATTTTTTTCCCCCTCCGGAACCTGACTTTAATCATTCTTGACCTCAGTAGTCTCTTATACACATCTAGATGTGTATAAGAGACAGAGATTATTGTTTGCATAATATAAACACACAAGATATTGAAACTTTTTTCTTTTTTATCCTTAATCGATTTCTCAAAACCTGATTAACAATATTTCAGATAAAATTATAGATAATTTAATTGATTTGGTTGTTTGAATAGCCAAAATTTGAGTTTCCCAAGCAAGGCACATCATGTTGGTACAAAAATTGCATTGGTCAGGCATCATTCATCTCATGAATTTAGTTTGGTAAAACAGTATAAGAACATGGCTAATGAGGAGTAATTATAGCTTATAAAAAATCCCTAAAAAAGCAAACCTAGTTTTGTAAACATGGAATTTGAATCTTATTTTTTTAGTTACATACTTCATTATAACAGCCTAATCTCAGATTGTTTGCATACACTATCATGATTCATTTACCCCTTTCACTTTCCTCTCCAACCATTTAGTATTTTAAAAATTTTGAATTCCAAATAGAAAATGGATATTTTGTGTTGTCTCAACTATAAGCACAATGTCTAGAACTTATCATTATTCCCTAATGTTGCATAATTTCCGGATTACTGTACTCAAATTTCTCCTTAGAGAATGCAGCTAATTTAGCACTACCAAATCTTGTCCTAGGGCAAACACTGCGTTGTATATGATCATCGGCTGACAAATTAATCTCCGCTCTCTGCGAGCGCTTGGTGACGCAATGCTGTCTGCTGATTGATAGTTGCAGACTAAGAGAATTGTAATGTCAATAGAAAAACAATAATTTTATTTTCTTTAAGAATATCTTTTGATTTAATTGCCTTCTTTTCTCCTGATGGTAAATTCTGATTGTACAAAGTTTCTTTTTTCTATGTTAAGGAAAGATGTTGATAACTTCGTATTTCCCATGCTCAATGCTCGATCTATCTTGCCTGTACACAAATCAGACATTTCCCTTCTCTCCCATACTTCCATTACAGTTTTCTTTAATTGTTCTTCCACACTGTTTTAATTTTTTTTTGTTTAGCTTGACAATTTTTTTCTGAAATACTTCTTTTTTATAATAATTTCCATTTTTTTTTTAATTTGAAGGGCAATGAGACAACTAATTTCCATTATTTAGTGACATCTCAAAAGAGAATTGATTTTAGCTAGCTATATTGCTCATCATGAAAAATGTTATTTTGATTATATAGAAAAGGAGCAGTATATACATTTTTTGTTCCTTTTTTTTATGAAGGAAATGCATATATGAATAATTTTTAATAAACATCAGCACTTTTTATAAACATTTTTTTTTATTAGGAAAAACACAGAAGCTTTTATGTATGTATGTATGTGTGTGTGTGTGTGTGTATGTATGTATATGTATATTTGTGTATGTATGTATATATAGTTGTGACAACTTTACCACTATTGCAGATTATTATACCACTTTTCCTTAGAAAGGAATTTTTTTTCTTCAATTTTTACACAAAAACCTTGCTAAAAAAATAGTCAATATGACTTTTCCATGGGCAAATAATTGTGGTTAAGTCTCAGAACTTTGTAATTTAGATGAAAATACAGTTGCCTATGTGCTTGAAAACACTGCTGTGAAAAAGCATTTTTACTGTCTAAGAGTGTCATTTCGGGGGGGGGGGGCCTGGAGCTGGACAAACTGTCAGGACCTTGAATACTTTGTTAGGGGTTCTCTTGTGCTGCCACTCAGAAAACACATAAATTGGTTAACCAATCAGATTCTGATTTGAAATTATGAGCCAGGCCTATCTAGGAGTATTATATGTTGTTCCAAAGATACCATCACATGACCAATGCTAGTTTTCAGTTTTCTTTGTTGTTGCCACATGGAAGTTGAGTTCCAAGCAACTTTCAATTCCATATTATTCAGAATTTGCTGTGCCAATTCACAAAAGCATGTCTATAATATCTCAATCAAAGTTTGATCATAACTCTAAATCAAATAACCATTTGTTGACATTTTTTGCTGTTTATATGCTTTTTTTTAGTGTACTTTTCCAAACTCTGGTGCACGAGTGATGCTTTTTATGGGTGGCCCAGCAACACAAGGCCCTGGTATGGTTGTAGGAGAGGAATTGAAGGCGCCAATCCGATCCCATCATGATATTGAGAAAGATGCTGCAAAGTACATGAGGAAAGCTTGTAAGGTAAGTTCATCATCATCATCAATTTATAGTCTATTATTGTTCCATGCAAGCATGGGTTAGACTAGTTAGTAATAATAATAGTTTGAATTATATAGCACTGTACACCAGTCTCAAAGGGCTCAAGGCATGGACTAGCTTGTTGTACAGTAAATTCCATCTCCTCTAAGGGTTCCCTTTATGCCCTGTCTCTTATACACATCTAGATGTGTATAAGAGACAGGAGCTGGACAAACTGTCAGGACCTTGAATACTTTGTTAGGGGTTCTCTTGTGCTGCCACTGAAAATACACATAAATTGGTTAACCAATCAGATTCTGATTTGAAATTATGAGCCAGGCCTATCTAGGAGTATTATATGTTGTTCCAAAGATACCATCACATGACCAATGCTAGTTTTCAGTTTTCTTTGTTGTTGCCACATGGAAGTTGAGTTCCAAGCAACTTTCAATTCCATATTATTCAGAATTTGCTGTGCCAATTCACAAAAGCATGTCTATAATATCTCAATCACAGTTTGATCATAACTCTAAATCAAATAACCATTTATTGACATTTTTTGCTGTTTATATGCTTTTTTTTAGTGTACTTTTCCAAACTCTGGTGCACGAGTGATGCTTTTTATGGGTGGCCCAGCAACACAAGGCCCTGGTATGGTTGTAGGAGAGGAATTGAAGGCGCCAATCCGATCCCATCATGATATTGAGAAAGATGCTGCAAAGTACATGAGGAAAGCTTGTAAGGTAAGTTCATCATCATCATCAGTTTATAGTCTATTATTATTCCATGCAAGCATGGGTTAGACAAGTTAGTAATAATAATAGTTTGATTTATATAGCGCTGTGCACCAGAGTCTCAAAGTGCTCAAGGCATGGACTAGCTTGTTGTACAGTAAATTCCATCTCCTCCAAGGGTTCCTTCATGTCTGAGCTACCCGGTAAACCGGTCATAGCTACTCTTGTCTGTCCACAGCAGGGGCTGTATTGACCTGTAATGAGGTAATTTCTACTCATATTGGAAGATGTACTTGGTTTTGAAAAGTGCACATGAAGCAATTGTGTACGCTGGGTCTATGGTTTATAGTCCTTATCCGAGAAGATTTGTTGCACCTCCAGAACCATTGGTGAGCATGCCAGTTGAACCAGTGCCGATATTATGGCTGTTGGTTGTGGCTGCCTTAGAAAAACAACATTATAAATTTAATGGATCTGGAATTATATTATAGAAAAAAAGCAGATAAAATCAATTAATATTGGATAGACAGTCTGAATAACATAGGTATCATAATCCAAGAAGATATGTAACATGATATATTTGGATTTTTGCAGCATTATGAAGCTCTTGCAACCAGGGCCGCCAATAATGGTCATACCATTGATATTTACGCTTGCTCTCTGGATCAGACTGGTTTGGCGGAGATGAAATACTGTAGTAATTACACAGGGTAAGCAAATACAGGAGGATTATTTTCTTAAAATTGTTTGTTTTACGAACAGAGAGCCAAGGTTATTATTGAAGTAACAAACCTAATCATTTTTGAGTTGCGATCTCTTTTACTAAGGCAAACATAAACACATGATCCTCAATGTAAACTTAGTCTCATTATGAAGCTTAGGCTCATACTTCACCTCATATCAAATTCAGACAATAACCAACATATTTTGGCAAACAATTAATTTAATATCTGGTATATCATTTATATCTTTTTTTTTCGGTGGGGGGGGGGGGGTGCGGGGCAGAAGGTACAGGGTGTGAGCTTTCTTCATAAAGGCATGTGTATCCCACCCTTCCACCCTCCGTCCTCCTTCCATATTTCCCCATTGATATGCCACTCAGTATTCTATTATTTGCTTTGAGAATTTTGTCGTTTAGTAAACTGAGGAGTATTGTTGAACCATCGTTGACAGTCAAATAATTGTACAGTAGAATAGCCACTTTATATTGAATCAAATTACCTGTATTTTTAAACAAATTAAATTAATAAAATATATAAGTGTTGTATAACATTTTATCTTTTGAAATGAATAATTCAATGTTCTAATATAATTTTTAGCATATTTCATATTGTACGCACACAGTAGTATATAACTGCAGCCGGTTATATTTTGTTGCAGGGGACATATGGTCATGGGCGACTCCTTCAACACTTCCCTTTTCAAGCAAACATTTCAAAGAGTCTTTGCAAAGGACATGAAAGGGGAATTTAAAATGGCTTTTGGAGCGACAATGGAAGTGAAGGTAAATTGCCAGAAGAAATATTTTAATGCCAGTTTAGGTTATATTTCGTTGTATAAATATTAAAATATATAACCATTTCAAAATATTTGTTATATTCTTTAAAACTTCAAGTAATTTAATCTTGGCATGTATCAATAATATTGGGCAAATTGCAGCCTGTAGGCCACACACACACGGCGCGATCGTGATTTTGTTGTGGCCCGCAAAAATAAATTAAGAATCCCTATGTGTGTGGCCCGCCAGCAATCTTTGGCTGGAAAACCCCTTGTTTTTTTTACTGCCCGTCATCAGTAGTTTGTAAAAAATAATATTAAAACTGATGCTAAAGCTAAATATTTTTGGAAGCTCAATGGAAACATTGAAGTTTGGGTGCTGCCCTCAATGTAAAATCATATATTCACTTTGGCTCTCTAACCCCGCAAAAATAAATTAAGAATCCCTATGTGTGTGGCCCACCAACAGTTTTTGGCTAGAAAACCCCTTATTTTTTTTACTGCCCGTCATCAGTAGTTTGTGAAAAATAATATTAAAACTGATGCTAAAGCTAAATATTTTTGGAAGCACAATGGAAACATTGAAGTTTGGGTGCTGCCCTCAATGTAAAATCAAATATTCACTTTTGGCTCTCTAACCCCGCAAAAATAAATTAAGAATCCCTATGTGTGTGGCCCACCAACAGTTTTTGGCTAGAAAACCCCTTATTTTTTTTACTGCCCGTCATCAGTAGTTT